AAGAGTTGATTTCACAAAATAGTTTCACTTACAGTCAAAATCAAAGTTGTTTCATCAACAGTATCTGAGGCAATTATGGGTTTGCATGGCTTCTCGATGTTGGTGTGCTTCCACAATGCCTTATGTATCTCATAGACCACGTCTCTCTGAAGTAAGAAAATAATGTAGAGTAGTTTGCTTGATTTAACTTACACGAGGAAAATAAGAACATGTCATTGAAATCTTACCGCTTCAAACCCTTCAGGCAAATGTGAAATCTTCACCGTGTTTGTTGTACGTTTTGGTACTTCTTGAAAGATCTGCTCCAGTGTTAGAAAAGTGTCGTCATATTCAATAGCGTTAGGGAGATCCACGGCTAGTGTAGCATGTTCAGGGCAGTCAAACTGGAAATGAGATGTAAGGGATTAATAAAAAAAATAATTATAGAGAAGAGTTGATTTCACAAAATAGTTTCACTTTCAGTCAAAATCAAAGTTGTTTCATCAACAGTATCTGAGGCAATTATGGGTTTGCATGGCTTCTCAATGGCCTTATTTTTCCATAAAGACTTGTGGATCTCGTAGATTATGTCCTTCTAATAAAACAAAAACACAATTTAACAGTGGAAAGGTGTTATTCTCATCTAGAAGTACAATGAAATATGCAATCACCTTAGCGAAACCTGCAGTAAGATTATAAATCCCGACTTGAGATGTAGGCACCCCCCTGTCCTTTCATGCTTTGTCACTGTTGCATTCAATATGGGAGATGCTACCTCTTCGATCTTCTTTATCGTGCTCACTAATATCATCTTTCCCATTAAACAAAGCATCATCCCCAACACTCTTCACGGGAACATCCTTGAAATATGTAGATAAGTTTTTCCTGAATGGTGTTAATCTTTGGGAAAGATCAACAACCTCTGCAGTTGTTGCTGCGGACAAACAAAGCACATATTGCATCTCCTCAACACATTTAAAACAGATCAGCAGTTAATATGAACTGACGGTTACTTACAGTTTTTTGGAGTAGAGGTGCAAGGATTTTCGCCCGAAGGCGAGGGGGTGCTCACATCAGAAAGTGTGTGTACATGCTGTCCGAAAGCGAAAGTGCGAGTGAAAAAAAGTGAGGCTAAAGTGAAAAAAGTTGAGTGAAAGTGGGCAAAAGTGGGCAAAAAGTGAAGTGAAAGTAGGTGAAAGTGAAAAAAGTGAAGCGAAAGTAAAAAAAGTGAAGCTCACAAAAGTGACAAAAGTGAAGTGAAAGTGGGCATAAGTGAAAAAAGTGAGGTGAAAGTGACAAAAGTGAACTGAAAGTGAAAAAGTGAAAAGTTGAGGTGT